CAAAATTCACTTGTTTCTTTGGTTGTTCTGTCTCTATAGTCTGGTTTACTTTAACATAGTAGGTTTAATTTTGCTACTATTTGAACGTTTTGGGGGAAGTATCTTGACAGGCATATTGCGCCATGCCACAATCCTCCTGCCCCAGACTCCCAACGAGCTAGGATTACATGTGCCATCATGTGTCTGGTGTTGGGGTTGATCGAGAGCCCAACCCAGGCTTCCCACATGGCACTAGCCATATGAATTGGTGCCCTACCCTCTTGTGCCACTGTGGCTGGACCTGATTCTGTTTCCAACATGCTCCCTCTCAGGTGATGCCAGTGTTGCTGGTTCTCAGACTTTTTGGCTGGTGAGGTGCTAAAGTATTAGGAACTCTTTCTCCAAATGAGGATTTACCCCTAAACTTTATTTTGACTATTTTGAAACCTAAAGAAAATCTGAAAGAATGGTAATAGTGAATGGTACAATGGCACATATATATAATTACCCCACATTAATCAAGTACTAATGTGTTCCACATTTGTTTCTGTCTGTATTTTGTATACCATTTTTAAAAGAATTATTTCATTTAACTTTATTTATTTTAATTTGACCAGAGAGGGACAGAGAGAGTGAGTGAGAGAGAAAGCAATCTGCCAGGTCTAGGATTCGAACCACGGTCGCCCGTGTAGGAGTTCAGCACCCTTAACCACTGTACCACCTGCTAGCCCCTTTGTATACCTTTTTTACATTCCCTTTTTTTGTTTTTAAGTTTTTTTTGCCATAGAGCACATGCACTTGACAGAGAGGGAGGAGAAACCACCCTTCCAGGGGGGATGGCCATCCTGCAATACTTTCTCCTTCATTTTCTTGGGATCCTGGGCCTACACACATATGTAGTCATTGTGACCCCAAAGCCACCAGGTCTGGGACTTGAACCATGTAGTTGGCCATGTGGGATCCAGCTCCCCATCCTCCATTCCCTATTGACCCTTTACATTCACCTTTTTAAAATATATGTTTGGCGGACACATAGTCAAACCTAGTATTCATACATAACCTAAGAGTAAGACATTTTTCTTTATTACTGTAATAATAATACTAAATCAAGAAATGAACATTAATTTTTAAATTTTTTAGTTTGCTATAGGATCTGTGTGAGAGAGAGGGAGAGACAGAGTAAAGTCTAACCCCAGGGTGGATGGCCATGCGGCAGTCCCTTCTCTGTTCTCTCAGGATTTTGGGCACACACACACATGCCTAGTGTGTTTTTGAATTGTGAAGTCAGTCATGTGGAATTCAGCCGACTTCACCACCATACCACCAACTAGCCCTTAAGCATTAATAACACCTAATATGTATTCTATTCAGATTCTCCACTTGTCTCTAAATGTTTATTTTAGTTTTTCCTTTGTAGGATCCAATTACGATAGTTTATCTAGTTTCTCTTTAGATAGGATATGGAACATTACTTGTGTTTTCTAGAACACTTCAAACTTACTTTATTTTTTGACTTGGTTGATATCTTACCTAGTACGCTGCTTTTCTGAATTCTGGTGGTAGTTCAGTATTTCTAAGAACCCCCTGGTGACTGGCATGGATAGACCAACTGACAGGCTGAGGAAGTGACAGGCAGCCTGGGTAATTATTAACGAAGACTCGGGTGCTGTGTGAAGTGTTGCAGGTACATCATGGTGGTTTACTTTTGTTCACAGGTGTGAAGCTTACACTGTCTGCTCTGGTGGATGGGAAGAGCATTAATGCTGGAGGCCACAAACTTGGGCTTGCCCTGGAGTTGGAGGCTTAATCCAGCTGAAAGAAACCTTGGAATGGATATCAGATTTGGCCTTAATATATTTTCATTGTGACCAGCAGGCTTTTCCCCCCACAAGAAGGTGATCAAAAGAGGATGATCTAAACAAGAGCTGTATTTTAAATATTTAGACAGTTACTTGTTAGCTGGTTTCTAGTTGAATTGGTTATCTAGTTACCAATGCTGCAGTCATGCAGTCATCTATACATTATTTAAATGTATTTAACTGTTAAATGCGCTACCCACCAATAATGAAATAGACCTTTATGAAAACTGTGCAACTGTGTGCATGTTTGTTTTTATGTTCCTTTTAACATTGAATATTGCCATTGTATGAGATGGATCAGTGGCTGTTTTAAGATGAGGTTAAAAACTTTTTGTTAAATTCAACCATCAGAATTTCTTTTGGTATCTCAGAACACTGCAAATTATGAATAAAACAAGTGTACATAATTAATGACTCCAAATATTTGCAGAGTTAAAAAATTGCCAGCTGGGGTCAGATCTCCCTGGTATCTAGCTAATACTTTATTTTTCTGGTGAGCATTTTGCTCTTTACCCAGATCTGTGCCACAGAGTCCTCTGTGTCCCTAGAATAATTCCATAAGCTTTAAACAGGACAATAAAAAAGAGGATACATGCTTTTACACTCTTCAGTTTGTAAGTTTATGTAAAATTGCATTATAACATTATTAACCCCAGGAAGCGTTGGAGAATAAGTGATAGATCGAAGGGATGGTGTTGACAGGTTAGACATACACCATGCTACTGCCCTGGATAAGAATGAGGCTCTGGATTGGTGGGATGAGAGTAGAGTGGGGAAGTGGATGGAGGTTTAGACTCAGAAGGGAGTATATGGGCCCTAATTAGAGGTCATTACTCATTTCCTTGCAGGCAGGCACTGAAAGCTGGGCCTACGTGTGAGACCAGAGGCAGTCACCTCAGGCCGCGTGGCTGTTGGCCTTCATCTGGACTGGGTGTGAATGATAGACATTGATAGGTAATGGTGGAAAAGAGGAAAGAGGACGTTTTCTGATGAGAGGCTTTAGTTTGAAGGATATCATGAAAGGTTAGAGAAGGAATATTAGAAGTACAGCTTGAAGCTTGAGAGAAAATGGATAAGAAAATGGAATACTTTTGGGACTCATTATTCAAGAAATGAAACATGTGGAAAACTCCCAGGTTGAGAAGAATCTGATGAGAGATTAGAGCTCAAACAAGTTCTCCACATGGGGTAAGGATGAAGGTCCCTTCTGATCCCACCTTGTTTGTCCTAAGGGACTGGCTGGAATGGCCTCTGAGTCAGAAGACGGTTCTCTGAAAGGCCCTCCCTAGATACACATGACTTAATGACTGAAGGTTGGAATTTGAACCAACTTGTTGAGTCAGGACCCATTACTAAGCTGAGCAAAGCAAAACAGATGAAAAGGTATCTGTGTGACAGCAACTCAAAGAAGTATGAAGTAGACAATTCTCCAAAACTTAAAACTGCTGAAGGTTCCTGGTCACAGAGTCTGCTGGTGCCAGAAGTCCCCTGGGTGGTGATCTGCTATCCCTTAGCTGACCATTGGACCACCTTCATGTTGTGGCTGGAGTCCACCTGGCTCTGTAATCTGAGGTGTGGCACAAGTGAGGTACTGGCTTGTCGGGGATCTCTCCTACAGTAAGTTTGATCTATTCACCTGTGTGTACTCTGGTATGCTTTATGAGTCAGAAAAGGGTAGGTTATACTCAGGGGCCTGAGGATTGTTAGAAATGCAAAGCTTATCCCAGAAGCCATGGGGTTGTAACCAGCTGTGGGCTTGGTGGCTCCTGTGGCCTTGCTCAGCAGCCTCCAGGTGCGCCTCTACGGCCCAGGCCTTTTCAAGAGCATTTGGTAAAGCCGTTTCTGGTCTGGCCCAAGGCAGCAGTGTTAGTAGAAAGGATCTAACTTTCATCTGATGTGGAGATAAGGTCTTCCTGTGGTATTGGGGAGATTTAAGTGATGGAAGCGGAGCACCTGGCTTGAGCTGTTCATAAAACCAGACCCCTCACCACAAACCTGCAGATGATGGTGTTGAAGAGCCTGAAGTTTTCTTCATCCTAAGATGTGTTAAAAATAACCATATTGATGTTCTGCCAACTATTAATATATCACACCTCCCTGGCAGTGATTTCCTCTCATCTTCCTTCAGGGCTTAAGGGGAAGGGGGGGAGGGCAGGATATGCATTCAAGTCAGCCTTGAGGTTCTCACTGATGTCCACTGACCACAGCCTCTGAAAACATGGGCAAACTGCCAGCAAACTGGCATAACCTACAAAAGTACCTGTGACAGGCCTGGTCCCTTGCAAGGCCTCTTTTCTATTGTCAGATCCCAGATATAGTCTCCCACTAGTCCCACTGAACTGTTTTTTTTTTTTTTTAGAGGTTTTTGCTATAGGGCACGTGCGCTCCCCAGAGACAGAGACAGAGAAAGCGAGAAATCACATCCCCCACCCCTCTGGGGGGGATGGCCACGCTGCAATCCCTTCTCCGTTCTCTTGGGATCTTGGGCACACAGGGTCCAGGACGCGAATTGCGGTCGGCTACATGGGAGTCCAGTGACATAGCCATTACGCCAACTGCTGGTACCCCACTGAACTGATTCTTTCAACTGCTGGTACCCCACTGAACTGATTCTTTGTTTTTTTTGAGAGGTTTTTGCTATAGGGCACGTGCGCTCGCCAGACAGAGACATAGAGACAGAAAGCGAGAAATCACCCCCCAGCGGGGATGGTCACTCCGCAATCCCTTCTCCATTCTCTCGGGCTCTTGGGCACGCACACGCGCCCGGCGTGAAGTTTTAAGCCACCTGGTCCGGACAGAACCGCGGTCGACTAAGTGGGAGTCCAGCGACATAGCCATTATGCTAACTGCTGGTTCCCCAACTGAACTGATTCTTGACCTGCCCTTGTCTGAGATGTCCGAGGGAGACCAGGGAATGGGCACTACACTGCATCTAGCCCTCCGTCTTGTGGACCTGAGGTCTCTGCCCTCTGCACGGGGCATCCTGCTACGTGCCAGCTGGAGGCGCCTTTGTTGGGTCAGTCCTTGCGCTGGGCAGTCTCAGGACTGTGCAAGGGACTAGATGTGGCCTAGTGTGACTTCAGGCCCCTTTCATTGAAGAAGCTGTCTGAGCTGGGCTTTCCCTCCCTCCCCATTAAATGCCACATATGGAGGCTCAGGAGGTCGTGTGTCCCAGCCCCACTTTATTGGATTTAAGTCTCAGGCAAAGCCTAGCATTCCCAGGTGCCTTCCCCCCAAGCCACTCACTAGGGGCCAGCCCTAGATCTTAAAGGCTAAAGTGAGGCCATCACCCAGGGGCAGGAGGCTGATGTGAACCCTGACGTCCCTCCGGATGCGCTCGTTCAGAGTTCGTACGCACTCCGCCGCGACGTCCCCATGCTGAGGCTGCAGCACCTTTCCATGCCAAAGGACCTGCGGGGGGCGTGGGGCATCACAGGGGTGTGGCCAACCGGGGCACGGAAGGCGGAGCCTCAGGGGGAGGAGCCTGAGCGGGAGGCAGAGGTGAGGACAGGAGCAAGTTTCCGAAAGCCTGGGCATCCCGCGGGAGTCCCGCCGGGGGAGGAGCCTACAGGAACACGCTGGGTGGGGCTTTGCTGCAGTGGGTGGGCATAGGGAGCAGCTCAGGAAAAGTCGGGTACTAAACCGGGAGAGGCTCCTTCCTGCTCCCTCTTGTCTGTCCCTTACACTGAGGACTGCAAGGACGCCTCCGGGTCGCAGCAGCTGTAGGCACTGCTCGTAGTAGGCGGCGCAGTTCTCCTTGTCCGCGTCCACCACGGCCACGTCGAAGGTGCCGGCCTCGCCCGCGGCCAGGAGCTCATCTTGCGGAGGAGGGAGGGTCAGATGCGGATGAGGGTGCAGTCCCAGCGGCCAGAAACCCCTGCCCAGACATTGTGATGGACAGCACCAGACAGGCTGGCCATTGAGCGACGCCGGCCCCTCTACCCTGCGTGGGACCCGGCAGCTGGGCGCGAGACCTCAGCCCGCCGGGCACACCTGGTCACTGGCTAGCGCCTGGCGGTCCTTCCCGTTGGGATGCTCACCCAGGGTCTCCAGGGCGGGCTTCAGCCGGAGGTCGATCTTGTGCTCCATCTCCGCCTGCGGAAGGAGCAGGTCAGCGCCAACTCGCACTCTCGCCCGGACCTGAGGGGCTCGGCTGCGGGCCACTCACCTGCCGCCACGGGGCCCCGCGTCCACCTCGCAGGTCACCACGCGCCCGGCAGGGGGCAGTGCCAGGGCCAGTGCCAGGGCGGAGTAGCCAGTAAACGTGCCTGGGGACGGGGCATGGCCAGGCTTAGCCAGGCTGGGGGCACAGCCCAGTGGCCTCAGCCCCCAGTTATCCCGGCCACGCGTTCCTACCCAGGTCCAGCGCCTTCTTGGCTTTGATGAGCCGTGCCAGGTTGGCCAGAAGCTGGGCCTGCTCGCAGGTCATCATGGAATCCCCCTGTGGCTGCTCCAGGGTCAGCTGTGCAGGTGGGGAGAGGACGGCACCAGGCCAATCAGTCACCCACCCCTCACCAGGTTCCAGACCCCCCAGCAGCGCGGCTATGGGCGTGGCCTGGGGGGGACGGGCCCTCGGGGAACGCCCACTTCACCCGGCCTGGGATCCCGGAAGCCCAGAGAGTGCTACTGCCCAGCCCAAGGTCACAGAGCCACGTGGACCCGCCGGGCCAGAGGTGGGAGGTGGGTGTCTGTCCCCGCCCTGGGTCGCTCCCGCCCCCGTCCCCGCTGACCAGCCGCAGGCTCCGCAGCGCCGGGTGTTCACGCATGGAACGGCTCAGCAGATATTGCCACAGGGGACTGTTTTCAGGGGGCAGCAGGCGCTGCTCTCGTCGGAATCGCCATGGGGGACACCATCTCCCTGCCGAGGAGGGGGTGCTGGGTCAGAGCCCGGGGCTCCAGGGCGCCGAGGGTTAACCTGAGCCGCGGACGGCCGCGCGGGTTCGCAGGCTGTGCCCGGCGCCCGCCCGGAGGCACTCGCGGAGGGTGCGGCGGCGCAGTCGTGCTCACCTAGGAAGAGGCCAGTGGCGAAGGCGGCGCCTAGCGCGGCCGAGCCCACCGCCAGCGCGGCGGGCACAGAGAGCCGAGGCACCCGCAGGGGGCGGGGC